ATATATATATATATATATATATATATATATATATATATATATATATATATATATATATATATATATATATATATATATATATATACAGGGTGTCCCGTCACTACTGTATTATCTCTTAAGGGCGGATTCCTGAAGTAATTTGAATAAGAAAATCCTAATATAAAAATGGCGAGGCTATAATACTTTTCAAATTATAAACGATTAAAGTTGACCAATTATACTGGCTAAAATACACGCGCTCAGGTACGGTACAGCACACAGTGGTACCACAGATGCATGCACATAAGTGAGAATTTGTATAAGATATAAAATTAGTTGTAAATCCCTGAAAGAAATGTTAAATGTATAACAGTTTACTGGTTCTCACAAATTTTATTCATTAACATTTTGACGAGATTGTTATTGCGATATGTTTATTTAAATGATAGAAAAGGCAGATTATTATTACATATATTGTTGTATGTGTAGATCTTCTGTATCAATATTTGAGAAAGGGACGACATGTACCATTACGTTCTAATCGGCAGAAATATTTTTCAGATGTTGCATTGATTTCAAATAAATTCAGGATCAACATTCAGGAAATTCATATCATGCGAAAAATAACATATGAAAAATATAAATGCAATATTATTAAAAAATGTCTAAACAATGCACATAAAGTCAACGTTTCTAAACGTTAATTTAATGTTCCTTGTTTACTGAGTAGATGTGATATGATCTAATTAGCGTATTCTAGAAGATAGGAAACTTGTGGGAAGAGAAGCCTTTCCTTAAGAAACTCATTTAAAATTAGCTGAGTACTTATAGAATTAGCTGAGTATATATAGAAGGCAATATATTTTGGATTGGATACGCGTACATAATTTAAGAAAGAAAATTAAGAAGTAGAAATTTGTATTACTAAACCCTTAAATAAAACAAATATTATTAAGTTATTATCATCATTAATTTCACAATTAAAAAAATTATTCTTTACTGTTATTGTTATTTAAGAAGCAATTAGTTATTACAAGAAGTAATTAGTACTTTTTTTATCTGAATTAGTACTTTTTTTTATCAAGGTTTGAAAATCTTTTTCTTGACAGATTAATACTTATTTTGTGTGCATGACTGTGTATATGTATTCATAAACTAACTATAGAAGTTTCTATTATATTTGTTACTGTTATGCAAGAAATATAATTCTGCTACTATTACAGTTATATTTAAAAAGATTAACGTCTTTATAATATAATTACAAATGAAAAAAAGCTTGTGATCTTAACAATATATAACGTAATAGTATGTAACACAATACACATTAATAAGATGAAAACTGATAAAAGATGTTTACTGTTTTAGAGCGCAAAATGGATTAAATTCATGTATATATACGAGGACTATATGATAAGTACCCGTGTTAGGGAAGGAAACGCATTTTTTAAATTTCTTTTTACTTATTTTTCAACATAGTCTCCTTTCAGCTCGATACATTTCATTTAGCGATATTCCAATGTTTTTATACCACCCAAAAAATATAATTTGTCGAACTCCGCAAAATAGGCCTCTGTTTCGGCAATGACTTCCTCGTTTGACGTGAATCGCTTCCCGCCAAGCCATTTTTTCATGCTTGGAAATAAATAGAAATAGCAGGGGGCCAAATCTAGAGAATAGGGTGGATGAGACAGCAATTCGTAGCGTAATTCGACCAGTTTTGCTGTAGCGATTGCAGACAAATGAGCTGGTGCGTTGTCATGATGAAAAAGCACTTTTTTCTTCATCAAATGGGACCGTTTTCTCTTCAATTCAGCGTCGAATCGGCCCAATAAATCAGCATAGTACTGCCCCGTGATTGTCCTTTCCTTCTCCAAATAGTTGGTGAAAATGATGCTTTGCGAATCCCAAAAAACGGTGGCCATGATCTTTCCGGCCGATAGAACCGTTTTTGCCTTCTTTAGAGCAGGTTCGCCGGGTAAAGTCCACTGTTCTTTCGTTTCTGGCGTGTAGTGATGGATCCATGTTTCGTCAACAGTGACGAAACGCCGTAGAAACTCTTTCGGATTGTACTTAAACATGTCTAAACAGTGCTCCGAAGTTGTCATGCGGTTCCGTTTTTGTTCCACTGTGAGCAAACGCGGCACCCATCTCGCCGATAGCTTTCTCATGCCTAATTTTTTGTGTAGGATATTTTGTACGCGTTCAATTGAGATATTTACAATGTCAATAATCTCTCTGATCTTCACCCGACGGTCTGCTAACACGATATCATGGATGTTGTTTACCATATCCCCCGTAGTCATCTCAATCGGGCGACCTGGGCGCTTTTCATCAAAAACGGATGTTCGGCCACGCTTGAATTCATTGAACCAATATCTGATGGTAGTCATCGAAGATGCATGGTCTTTATAAACGGCATGCAACTTCACTTTGATTTCCTCACACATCTTCCCATCCAAAAAAAGGAATCGAATCACTAACCGATATTACTCTTTTTCCATGGTTGCAAACAAACACAAACTTGTCCACTTTCAACAGTTATCAAAATAAAACTACTCGATAAATCTGTCTGAAATTTTGACTGGCGTCGTTCGGAAGATGGCGTTAAACGATGGTATACAGACTTTGAGTCAATGACGCCATCAATTGTTAAACACGAGTACTTAATAACCTCGTATGTAATAACCCAGATAACACAGAGAATTCAAAAAGAATTCAGTCGTATGTCACCAATTCTGAATTCATTTTCAGATACAAAAAGAATTTTTCAAAGTTCAGTTTAGTGAAAAGGATTCTTTTTACATCTAAAAATGAACTCAGATTTGGTGACACATGACTGAATTCTTTTTGAATTCTGTATGCTATCTGGGAATACAGTAAAACTGTCACGAAATATCAAGCACACATCCATAATCCTTATGGATGTGCGCTCACGATACTGAATTATATTTTCCTCTATAAGCAATTCTCTCTTTCCCTCTCTCTCTTGTGTAACATCTTAGAAAGTATATCAAATATTATTTTATGGAATTACTAGCTAAATAGTGTGTGCCTATGTTGTGGTATAGTATTGTATAAAAGAAAAGTTAATTTTTACGTTATTTGCACGAGTATTAGCTTTATTGAATGTCGATTTTTTCTTTCAACTTTATCCATCCCCCTAGTCTATGCGTGCCTCTTCATCAGGTAGAGATATGCTTGGGAAAAGGAAGGATATGTAATAGGTTTATAAATAATTAATTCAATAGGCGAGCGCACCTTCTGGCTCACCATGCGAGTTTTTCTTTCCTGCTAGTTATGGAAGGGGAAATCCCGAGTAGCAAGTATGTAAAGTTGTGTGAGCGAATTGCAACAAAAGGTACGTTCTCCTATTTCTGCGAATATCCGCACGACCATCATGGCAGGTGTATTAACGATGGAGAGACTCATCGCTTTCTTAAAAGTAGATTTGGCGGTCGCTTTTTGCTGGCCACTCCCGCCGACGGCCACGAGATTTCAAATAATCCGCAACAAATTGCTTCAGTGGTTGTGCGGTATTCACGGGACATTTGGCGCGATATCGACGATGTATACAATATGGATAAACCACGAGGATTTGTTCGTCGTCATGAAGCTTTCTTCCGTGACGGTCGCACTTGGGCATGTTCCTATACAGATAATATTGTACGCGTTCGAACATGATCGTTTACAAGTAAGAAGATGCACAGTACATCCAGGTATCATTAGGACTTTTCTAATTACGAATTAGCAATTGCATTCAACGTGTCGTGGCTTCGACGAACATTTCCAATATTCGACTCTCGTACATGCGACTAGTGTTCTCAAGTCAAGATCTGGCTGAGAGGAAAAGAGAAAAGATTGTTCAACTCTAATTTTTATTTTAACGCGTACCTTTTATTTATTTAAAAAATTATTAAAAATTTCATTAAAAGTTGAAGTATGTTTTATTGCTTTTGTCACTTTCGTACTATACTTTCTTGCACAGCCACTGTCGGAACTTTGGACGATTGCTTGTCCGTTCCTCTCTATCTATGTCTGTTTGTCTATATATGTCTGTTTGTATAGATGATAGTACATGAGATGGAAAGTTTCGTCGAGCTCGCGAACTTGGAGGAGAGGGTCATCTTTCAGAATTACATCAACAAGTGCAAGTTGTGTTACGGGACGGTGATGGGCTGCATAACTTTCACGATGTGTGCGATGTTACTCGGACCATTTGCACTGGATCAAACTTTTCCGTTAGAAATAAAGTATCCATTCGATGTAGAGCGGCAACCGCTAAAGACTATTATCTACTTGCACCATGCGCTGCTGATATATCAAAGTTACGTTCAAGTGTGTACCAATGTCTTCGTGGCTCTGTTACTTTGGTTCCTGGTGGCACGATTCGATATTTTGGCGTGCAAGTTTCGCAAGATCGCGAATGCCTCAGAGTTCCTGATCTGCGTGAAGCAACATCAACAGTTATTGCGGTGAGATGTACCACATTTTTACGAATTGTTTTATATAACTCGCAAACATGTCTCTTCTACTGCTTCTTTAATCTTTTCGTTGCGGCGCAACAACGAAAAACGTTCGTCGTCTGCAGGACGATATTCGTGTCAGTCGCATCTGCGATACGTTATTATATTGTATATATATGCGTTATTATATATACGGCCGTATATATATGCAGCCTTCACAAATGACGAGCGTTTTTAACTTTTAATTAAAGAAGATTAGTGAATGATCACGCGCGATTTGGCAGATGAGTTGTGATAGCGCGACTTTTGCCGTGTGCTTAGATTAGATTAGATTAGACTGAACAAAAAAGTCTTGTATCATTTTGCAAATAGTCACGTAGATTCTTAAATTCTTAATTAAAGAACATTGACTTGTAGGTGATCGCGCGTGATAATATAATAATGTTCTTTAATTAATAATTAAGAATTTACTGGTTTTATTAGTATAAAGAATTTTATTGGTTATTTTCAAAATGATGGAAAACTTTTTTGTTTCATCGTTATCATAACTCATGACGTATTGCTTGTTATCATTCGCCAATTTTCTTTAATTAATAACTCAAGATTTTATATTGTTTGCAAAATGGTACAGGAATTATATGTTCAATTTGATCTAGAGTCTACATGAACATACACATGAGTATATACAGGACATTTATGCTGCAATTCTAAGTAGAATCGTAAGTCTCGTAACTTGTTTTCGTAAAATTCATTAGAACTTATGAGTAAATTTACAAATCTATGCAATATCATATGTCGTACAATCACTTGTAAATATCGTAAATTACATGAAATCGTAGATATTTATGAGAAATTGTACAACAAATGGTATTGCATAGACTTGTAAATCTACTCATAAGTTCTGACGAATTTTACGAGAACAAGTTACGAGACTTATGATTCTGCTTAAAATTGCAGCATCAGACACTCTATACTTCCGCAACGAAAGGATTAAACTAGATTTAAAGATTTAAAAAGATCTTTTTTTTCTCATTTATATTATTCATTTCAAATGTCAGATTTTAATAATTAGTGTGTTATCCTATTTATTATCTAATTTAGATTAACGAAATTACAAAATGCCAAAAAAGCGAATTTAGACTCTATGAAAATAAATAATTGCGTTGTGTTGTTTGTACTGTACGTCGCTCATACAAGGATCAATCATTCATTTTAGATACGCGAGAAATGTTACTATTAGTCTACGATTTGTAACGTTAGCGGCAATTATTGCTACTACGATAGCGGTTATATTAGCCAGTTTAACATTCCTGAGTGTAAGTGTCGTCTATCATAAGTAAATATCATAATTTACCTTCTTCAGCAAACACTGTAGCGCTGCATTTGTAACAATTTAACGTTGACTTGCGTTTCGAGACGGTGTAACATATTTAATATTTAAATTGTGTTAAATCAGAAACAACCAATTACTGTGAAAATTCAATTTATGACTATGGCTTTTTCCGCCCTGATGGAAGTTTTTCTCTGTGCGTGGCCAGCCGATTGTTTAATACACATGGTAAGAAGTCGAGATTATTGACGAAAAGTAACGATGAAAAAAGAAAGAGTCCGCTTTAATTTGCTGACTACTTTTCATTCAAAATCGAGGTTTTCTCAGAAGAGAAGAAGTCATGTACTAAAAACGTTTCTCCCTTCCTTCCTCATTAATCTTTTTTGATTCGACGTTTTCCAGAGCAGCAACATCTCCCAGGCTGCTTACGACTCGATGTGGTTCGACAGAAAGGTCTCTTTGCACAAAGACCTATTATATATTACGGCACGAAGTCAGCAGCCTGTTATCCTCAGCATACCGTGCGTGTTACCGATTCTGTCCCTCAACTTCTACAGTTCCGTAAGTCACGCGATTTCATCGTCAGCATGAACTGATATCGTACAAACAAACGATTCACGACTGGATCTACGAAATGTTGCAGTTTCTCTCGTCCACTTTCTCATTTTTGACTGCATTTCGAGCGGTATTAGAGGTGGAAGTTGAGAGCTGATCTTCTTGCGAACATCGCGTCGTGTCGCATTGCATTTTCGCAATGTAGTGATGATTTCAGGATAAACCAGCACTGCGGAAATTGTAACCGTAATGAAAGCGTGAAACTAGAAGTTGCCTACGAAAGCAAACACATTGCATATATCGAGACTAACATATGCAATATTACTTGATTCTCTGACAAAAAATGTTTTATTAATCATTAGATAGAATAATCTTTGCACTCTCTCATTTTCGTGTGTTTTCGAAATAAGAAAATTAAAAACAAAAGAAAAAGATACAGAAAAGGAAAAGAAAAAATATGATATGTAATTAAATGCGAACAAATTAAAGAGAGCTTGAACTATGAGTAATGAAACAATGACTAGGACGATTAAATTTAAAATTTACGAACACTTCCATAAGATATGATATGTAATAATTTAATTTAATAAGCCTTTAACGAATCGAACGTTAATTCTTTCTTCGCCAAAATAAATGGAAGAAAATTGACCTGATGAGACGTTTCACTATCAATTAGAGACTAAGACCCTTATTCTGAAATCTTTTTCATCGATAAATGCCTTTAAATGCGACTTATAATCCTCCTGATTGGCTCATAAGCATATTTTTATCTATAAAAAAGAGTTCACAGAATAAGAAGGGTCTTAATATTGATAGTTTCTACGACTACAGCGAAATTTAATTCTATATATTTTCGCGAGGAGAAGATTGACGATTCGTCAAGATGTCCTTCAAATCGGACTTTTCGGTTAACCTGCATAATACCACCTTTATTTGATAATCCGTATAGCCTCTCCGTCGTTACGCACAACACATACCTACAATATACAGTTATATTACTTCACGGCCCATTGTTGCTTTGCTCACGATCATAGATCTGCGGTCGAGCTAAATGGAGTCGATTCTCGAGGAAAACCACGAATATCTCCGACGCTTGCTGCATACTCGTATTTCCACCGTCGATACACGAATGTGAACGCAAAGTGAATGTCGCAAAGTCACGAAAGGACCTTATTTCACGGTACGATGATGACACTAGCGCGAATACACATCGCGCGTCATCATTAAAGACGCATCAGCGTTAACGCGCGAGTGTACAAAATATTCCAGCATTATTATATCCACGCCAGTTTGTTTCTGAAGTTTCTTTCCTCTCTTGTAACCGCCGTCTCGCCGTGGCTAAATAATTGATCGCTTGCACCTGGCGCTCCCACTGCAATTGCATGAGCGTAAATTCGCACTCTCTTGCGCCTCTCTACATTAGAAAAAAGGAAAAGAATTGCGCACGAGATGTGTGTATAAAATGTAAATGAATATAATGCGCGGGGCTGAGCAACCCCGCGTTTTCCTCGCTCGCAACTTTTCTCTCTTCCGCCGTGGATCGCCGGGAGAAATTCTAGAGGCAGTCAAGCGCGAATTTCGACGAGGCACGTTATTTTTCTCGTCGACAGCGCCGGTTGAAATTATTATGAGCGGTGTATTGACGATAGAGCGGATCATCGCTTTTCTCAAGGTGGACCTCACGTTCGCTTGTTGTTGGCCGCTTTCGGCCGACGCCACGAGATGTCAAAGGATTTGGGACAAGGTGTTTCGTTGCTTGTGCTGCCTGAACGGCATGATCATGGTGATAGCGTTGTGGTACACGTTATTCACTGGCTACACTGACACGCTTCTCGTTATGAAAGTGAGCTGCGAGCTGAGTGCCTGTATACAAGTGCCGATGCAGATTACGTTGTTCACGCTCGAGAGCGATCGTCTGCAAGTAAGGGACTATGCGTTTCTGTTCAGAGATTTTCGATTTCGTCGCCATTTTCCTCTTTAATCGGTGCCTTGTTATCGATGATTCGAGCACGTCTTAAACGTGATTTGAATGTGGTTTACGGTTTCCAGATGAAAACTTTTCGGGAAAGAGATTCCGCTATTAATTATAGTGATTTATCGTAATTCTTTACAATTACATTTTCTTTACACAACTATAGTAGAGTATTGCTCCAATATCCCATATATATGTCAAAATTACTTCATATTAAATTCTCTAAATATCATAATTTTTCCTTGTGCTAATCTTGCTTCTAATGTACCGAATAGTAAACTTTACAAAAAGAAATAATAGTACATTGGAAGTTTTGCAAAAATATAGTCCGCTTGTCTGTTCATTCATCGTTTCTCAATTAGTTTGAGAAGTGGCGAATGAAAATCACACGAGGGGACTTTGATCTGTAACTGACGTGCACATGAAGATTCGTCTCGTCGGGTCGTACCTCTGCGTAGGTAGTAATAAGCGAAATGGAAAATTACATCCAGCAAGCGAAGTCGGAAGAGAAGGGTATCTTTCAGCGATACGTCGACAAGTGCAAATTGTTTTACGGCGTGACGTTATGTTGGATAACGATAACGATGGTCGCCATGGACTTCGGCCCTCTGTTGTTGCCCCAGCCGTTCCCGGTCGCAGTGCACTATCCGTTTCATGTGGAGAACCAGCTGCTGAAGATCATCATCTACCTTCATCACATAATGGTCGTGTATCAATGTTACGTGCAAGTGTGTGCCAATGTCTTCGTGGCCCTCTTGCTCTGGTTCGTCGCGGCGCGTTTCGAGATCTTGTCCGGTGAATTTCGCAAAGCGACGAGCCTCTCGGAATTTATGCGTTGTATACGGCTGCATCAACAGTTGCTGGGGTAAGACGCGTTGTTGAATCATTAGGGAACAGTGTAGTCATGCATTTTTCCAAAATAATAAAACTAATGTCATTTGCAATAAAAACTAATCAGTTACTTTGCTATTTCTTTTTTAATTTCAAGCGTCATTTTATATTTTCACGACTAGTTATTGAGGCGGAATGCTGTGCTTTGTTGTAACACTTAATAAAATTAGATTAGAAAATTAGATTGATACATAATTTTTATGGCTCTCATTAGCCCGAATTGTGTATCGATTATAAAGAAACGGAGAGACTTTTCTACTCTTTTTCAATAAATTATATTAATTAATAATTGATTTCAGATATGCAAGAGATGTCACTAGGACCGTTCGATATGTGACAGTGACGTCAATAGGATTCAGCACTGTCGCGGTAATCTTCAGCGGTCTTACTTTTTTGAGCGTGAGTATCATATATTTCGCTCCTTTAACTGCACGTTAAACTGGACACGTGTATTTAATTGCAAGTGTGATTCTTTTTTTTGGCTTTTGTACTAACACGTAGCGAATATTACCCGCATATTTTTTCACATTACGTCGACGAGATACTGCGTTATTCATGTTGATAACGATACAGCGACAGCCGTTAACCGTAAAGACTCAGTTTTTGACCCTCGGCATGTCTGCTCTTGTGGAAGTCTTCACCTGCGCGTGGCCAGCTGATTATGTATTAAACATGGTGAGGCACGCGACAATGGTGTGAAAGTACATACAAATTGTATTAGGACCTTAACTTAGTTTCCGCCCAAAAAATACTGAGAAAAAGCATTTATTGTAAAAAATTTATTTAAATTATTTCAATGAAAGTATTTTCCATCACTTTCTACAACTTTTTGCCATCTTTCTGGCAACTGGGCGATACCATCTCGATAAAACGATGTTTGTTTCGAAGCAATCCATTCGTCCACCCATTCTCGC